TGGTTTTTAACAACTTTGTAATGAGTCATAAGTTTTCTAATGAATAACAAAAGAAATGCAATACATTGTGAATGCACAAAAAAAATGTTTTAAACTATTTTTTTGGCCATGGAAGGTTAGTTTTTAAGGATTTTTAAGGGTTGAAAAGTAATTAAATTTCATAAATTATATTAAAAAACATGAAAGGAACTTTATCCAACATATTTTATTTTGCGATTTTCGCATTTGTTTCGTACAAGGGTAGTTTTCACCCCCAAATGAAAAAAAGCACACATCTAGACAATATAACTTTTGAAGTGAGGGGCAGATGAGCATGTATGCAAATTTTCAGGAAAATCCATATTCGAAAAAATTGGGAGCTTTTACTTTATTTTCGCCTTCAGTGACTGGACTATGACTTTAAAAAAGTGCTTTTCAACATTAAAAATTCAGACCATAGTGTACCTGCATTAACAATTTTTGATTTTTCCTTGTTATAATTGTTTATGCCATATGTGGCGATTTATAGCCATTGTGCTCGAGTGGCTCCCAAAAATGTCTACTGTCGACTGACGATTTTTTGTCGATTTTTAATATAGTTGTGGTGGCTAGCTGTTTGGCTTTTGTTAATAAACATCTTTTATACAGTTAAATTTCAAAAAACTTTAAGCGGTCTAAAAAATAAATTATATTTTAATGTTTGTGCAGATAATTTAAATTGCATTGATTGTTCTATTCAAAAGTCATAAATGTATGACCAAACGAGAGCGTGTATAATCGGAGTTTTTTCAAAAAATATAAGTACTTGCATATTTGTATTAATAAACTTTCTATTTCGGCTACAGTAAATTTGGATTTTATAATAAATGCAACAGCAAATGTATTTATATCTGCAATTGTCGATTAAAGTTAATAGGAAGTGAAACATTTATGTAAGTGCTCAAAAGTAATAGCTAATAAAAATTTGCATATTTTACAGTCTCTAAACATACAAAAAGTTAAACGTAATTTAGATTTTATTACACTAGTGTTAATGCAGTTCTGTGTAACCCACAAATCTTCAGATGTCGCACCCTACTTTTCTTTTACGCCATTATGCATTGGAAATAATTTTATTTATTTTCAATGCTAATCCATGCCTTAATAGTTGTACCTATTATTAAGATTTACGATTATCTAAAAGGTTTAAGGCATCAAACGGTTTTTGCGGGCCAAGCCGGATTTGAAAAACAACGCTATATTTGAAATCAATGGATTTTTTAATATTTTTGCACCATCAAATCTAAACAAATACAAATGAAGTTGAAATTACCGGCAATAAATATAAACCATATTTTTCGTCACACCGAACTCTTCTTCTGGATATATTTCCGATAATTTCACAGCCAACGATTCCACAATTTTTTCATACGTCATTTGTTAATTGAAAATTAATCATGCAGTTATGTCACAAAAATGCTACACCACAGGATTTGCTTTACCCATTTATCAGTTCCTCTGACGGTTTAACCATGAATAATATGTTGCTTTTTAATTTTACTAATTTTACAATAACCAGAAAAAATATTTACTTAAGATTAAATCGTAAACAGAAACCGCCACGGCTAAAACGCATTTCCTGCAAAATTTCTCTTTGAGGTCTCGCGAAGAAACTAAGATTGTTTGACGTTGCTGCGTGTACTTTCGCAATTAAATATTTTTTAAGGTAAAAACAACGTTAAAGAACAGTTTCCTCAGCATGATATACAGAATCGGTTAAATATCTCCTTTTTTGACTATAACGTTGTGGAAAACTACTCTGCGGACTAAGGCCCCGGCCAGCATTGAATTACACCTTACACCCGCAATATGTAGCAGACCGCAGAATGTAAATAAATACGAATATTTATTTATTGTGACTTCCAATTATCTTATTGGTTGATTTCTCATAGTATCCAGTTACTGTGTACTATGCAGTACAATGAATCACATTGTTAAAATTTTTTGCAACTATTTTGTCATATTTTTATTTGCTAGATAGGTAAATACACCTATCAGTTAAGTATGCTGTTTTGTAAAATTGTGATCTTGTAATTTTAAAAACATTTAGTTGTCTCAGTTATGCAGACATGTAGGTCAAGTTTGACTGAAATAATTATATACTTTTCCTTGAAGAACCACATGAGGTAAGCGTATAAATGTCGTGATCGATAAAACGATAATACAGAGAAATAAAGCTCAATTAAGTAATTTTATTGATGTGTATGTGTAGGCAACTATCGAATTTTAAAAAAATTGCAAAGCACAACATTAATGACAATACTTGTAAATATAATGTACACAATTATTTACTTCGTAGTTAATTTAACAGATAATTTTTTCTGCGGATTTGCAATTCACCAAACTGTTTTAAAATGTTATCCTATAATCTTATAATAAAATAAATAATTTATTGATTTTACAGCGATTTTAAATAATATCTCTCAGAAACATTATGTGGCTAAGCCATATAATACTGTTGTCGGAATAAAACAATATACACGGAGAGATTTTCAATTTTGTCCCATTAATTTATTACAGCTATAAATTCATAACAAATGTAGTCGGATAAAATTTATTGGCTTTGATTTTTTAAGGGTACATAATTTTGGCATTTTTAGGCGTTTATATGTAGTGTAAAATAATTAATAAGGCCTCAAGTGTAGTGAATTAAAATTGAGAAAGATATATACAGGGTGGGCCATTAGTGTGAGAAAGTAAAATAACTCCCTTGTTACTCATAATACAGAAAAAAAAGTTTATATAAAAGTTTTACAGAATCAAGAAACATAAACTACAAAATTAATTTGGTACATACAGGGTGATGAGTAAAAACGAGACACGCCAAATATTAAATTTTTTAAATGGAACACCGTGTATATTTTTAAAAATATGGATTCCCGAGAAAATTCTATATATGGCAATATAAACAATTTATCATTTTAGTGCGGGGTTGCCAGGTTATGTAGAAAATTCTTCGAATTTTGGAAAAAAACATGACCTCGAAGAAGTTGTATTAACTTTCAACTACTAACACTTGGAGTAAACATATTTGATGGAGTTATATGCAAATGTTAGGCAAAGACTTCTATATTAGCTAATATCGATATATTTTATACAGGGCATTTGTTATAATACGATCATTTTTAGAAAGTTTAAACTTGATTTTCTAAAATTTTTCAAATGGAACACTGTATTTTATTGTTCTATTTTATTCACATATCGATCCACTTTAACTTTTATAAAGCATGTTCTATAACTAAAATTGTTAGTTTTTTAGATAAAGCAACATTTCAAAAAAAACTTAATTTTTATTATTTTATAATAAATATTAACTAATAAAATTAACTCAAAATGGAATGATAAATTATGAAGTGACAAGTTGATACAATGTAACAATTTTTTCCAAGGCCATTTCTTGCGACCGAAAATAATAAAAATTAGGTTTTTCCAGAAATGTTGCTATATCTTAAAAACTAACAACGTTAGGTGTAGAACGTATTTAATAAAAGTTGAAGTGGACTGATATGTAAATAAAATAGAACAATTAAATACAGGGTATTCCATTTGAAAAATTTTAGAAAATCTAGTTTGAACTTTCCTAAAATGATCGTATTATGAAAAATGATCTGTATAAAATATCGATATTAGCTAATATATGAGTCTTTGCCTAACATTTTCCTATAACTCTGTCAAATATTTTAGTTCCAAGTGTAAGTAGTTGAAAGTTAATACAACTTCTTCGAGGTCATGTTTTTTTCCAAAATTCGAAGAATTTTCTACATAACTTGGCAACCCCGCACTAAAATGTTAAACTGTTTATATTGCCATATATATTATTTTCCCAGAAATCCATATGTTTAAAAATATACAGGGTGCTCCATTTAAAAAATGTAATATTTGGTGTGTCTCGTTTTTACTCATCGCCCTGTGTGTTTCAAATTGATTTTGTCCTTTAGGTTTTTTGACTTTGTACAACTTTTATGTAAACTTTTTGTCTGTATTATGAATAAAAGGGAGTTATTCTACTTTCTCACACTAATGGCCCACCCTGTATATTTGAAGGTAGAAATAATACAATTGCTGTCAATTTTTCGTATCTTTTGTATTATTTTCACGTTTTTTCTTTATTACACTTTTCTATTGTTCATTAATTATTTTATGTTCGATTTTTCCTTCCCATAAAATCTTTTCTTGATTTTTGAGTTCCTTCCAAACATGATAGCAATTTTTTTCTGGATGGAGACGTCTCCGCTCGAGATAAAGTGATTGCTGATTGGTTGAATAAAATATCATGAAAAAATACACTAATCACCAGTTGGTGAAACATATTGTTATGTGTTAATGTAATCTTGATTTTATTGTTGTAATTTTACCAAAATTTAATTGCCAACCTTACAAAAATACTGTTGCAAACAAAATTACGGTATTTATTGCAATGTTTCAAATTGTTATGTGTTAATGTAATCTTGATTTTATTGTTTTAATTTTACCGAAATTTAATTGCCAACCTCACAAAAAATACTGTTGCAAACAAAATTACGGTATCTATTGCAATGTTTATATTAAACTTTTAAGCAGTGGAGTTCAGTGACTTTACGACTCTTTTGTACAGTATGTTACAAATTATTTACCATCAGGTGGATGGTTTTTTTCAGTGTTTATGCCTCAACAAATGTGTAAAACTGAAAACTCGAAACTTAAGATTTCATTAGAAACTTAAAAACTATAATTACTGAGATTAAACAAGCTGTTGTAAAATCGAGACAGCTTAGAATAATCAAGTTTATAGGCGTTAATAATACTACAATACATTGTTGCAACGAATTGTTCCGTGATCGTGTACGTTATTAACTTCTACGTACAATTAATTAAAAAAATCACTGTAAAAAATTTATTACAACCATAAAGATTATAACTGTCCGTCTGTAGCTTTAGCATCCATGTTGATAAAAGCCAGTGATAATCGCAGCTTATTTCTAATATCCACACTTTTTTTTCAGGTTAACATGAAAAGAGCAGTATTATGTACATCACTCGCGTTAATTTCTCGTAAGTAAAATTGTTTATATACGACTATAATTTCAGTTTAAGTAACACATAATTATTTTAATGAATTTGTTTTAATTTTAATTTTTTTTCCAGTTCTGGGGGCTGTGACATGTGAGCTTACTGTTTCTAAACATGACTTGACTCTGACTCTAAACGAAAAAGAAACATTTGACTTAGAAATAAGGTAAGCTTTTTTCAAATTAATAATATAATTTCTGATTATGTGAAAGTTGTTGTTCAAAATTACAAATAATTACGGGGGATTATTATTTAAAGCTATCAGTCGTTCAACTGTTTTAGTATAGAGTTCGGAAGGCGCGGCTCTTAACAAAGTCGTACTAAGCTCGCCCTTTCAATTTTTATTTCATTTCACTGTCAGCTTTAATCACCGCACCGTAATATTTATACAAAGGGTTCCAATACACATGTTTTCAACATAGTCGATATGATACCTATTGAAACTTTGTCTGAGACCATATACAAAAAAAAAATGGTAAATACATCTCAAATGGGTTTTGGAAGCAACATCAGGATATGATTTTATGAGGTTATGTTTATTGTTTACATGTCAAACTAAACACAACTTGACAGCAAATTTTTCCGGGCAAAGCTTTGCCAAATTGTCCGCTAAAGTTTCACAATTATGCTTACAACTACATATGCTTATTCTAAACTGTTTCCAGCGACCAGCATAAGATATGCGTCGCTAATTTTCGTTGTTACAATCGCGGAGAGCATTTCCCAAAAGAAATTTAAATTAATTAATAGTTAATATCGATAAAGGACAGAGGATTAAAAAGGAGCAGTAAAATTTATATTATACGGGAAGCTGTGCTTCCGTAGCTTACATGGTAAACACGCCACTGATCTATTTTAAATTAGGCGCAATGGAATGAGCCCTTGCTTAAAATATGTATACACTTTTGAGATTCACCCGCGTGTATATAAAAAAAATTGGAAACAACCAGTTGAGCAAACACAACAAATTGATTTTAGTAACATGATACAGAAAAACTTATTGGATTACTAAACATATAGCTATATAAAAAATAATTCCAAACCCGTATAACTTTTGTTTTTAGTAATTTTCATTCTTATGTTGCAATACATTATTTTTTAGTACATATATGAAATGTTTCCTATGCCTTTACCTATAAATACAAATACACCAGGATAATTAGCGAAAATAAAAGAGAAACTCGAAAAAAGTCCTATCCGCGAGATTATTGTAAAATTGTCTAAAGGAACATAATACAAGACATCTCTCGTCTCGTGAGAAAAACTTTTATTAGCTAACTTTTCTATTTAAACAAATAAGTGAGGAAAACAGTTTTTTCACTTTGCTGGGAAAACCATCAATTTTAGCGAAAAGTTACTCCCAGACAGCTCGTAGGGAGTAAAATTATCTACAAAATGAGACTTGTTAAATTAAAATCGGTTAATAAACAAAAAAGTTATTGCAAAAAAACAAGAAAAGTGCCCATTTTTTAATTTGTTTATAACTATCGCATTTATTGTTAAAATTTTATAAAACCTATGACAAGTTGAGGGTTTTGTCATACTTTAAAAGTGTGCCAAAAGTGGGCGCTGTAGGTGCAATAGTTTTCGCACAATTCTATTTGTTTATAGCGGAGGCTCCAAAAGTTATGAACTTTAAGCCTCTGTACATACAGGCGTTAATTTTTAATCAAACATGATTCTGAAAGCGTCGTTGTAATCTCAAAGACGTAATTAAGCGACCTATTAAAAAATATCACCGTTTTTTTGACACTAACGAAAATTGTTAATGTGTTTATATGTATTATTAATTAGATATTTCAAAATATTAACCTTATAAAGATTGACAAGAATAGTTCATAACTGCGATGTGATGGCTCAGTGTGTAACGCGTTGTACTGTCACGCTGGGGTCCTGGGTTCGGTCCCTGATACAGTTGTGACTTTTTTTCAATTAATATTTATTTCAAATAATATGAAAATTAAAATCAAAACAATTTTATAAACTTTTCAAGTTAGAAGAAATTTTAAACACCGCACCGCTGAGGTTGTGACGACGCCGATACACTGTTGCCAATTAGGATGTTCAACTTAGGTGTGTGTTTAGTATTTACATTGTGAAGAGGTGACGATTTGATTCTTAAAAAAGTTGTTGAAAATAGTAGTTTANCGGAGGCTCCAAAAGTTATGAACTTTAAGCCTCTGTACAGGCGTTAATTTTCAACCAAACATGATTCTGAAAGCGTCATTGTAATCTTAAAGACGTAATTAAGCGACCTATTAATAAATATCGCCGTTTTTTGACATTAACATTCTCAAATTGTGCATTAAAAATCAGCGCGTTTTTCGCTTATAAACGATTTCAATAAAATTGTTGCTATTTATGCTATCTCATCGAAAGTAGATGCAATGGATAGCTGGCAAAAAAATATAGTTTTAAAATAAAAAAAGTACCCTCTACGACCCACAGGAGCCAAGATAAGAATTTTGTTTTAATCGTAGCGCAATTGTTTATAAATATTAAGACTTAAATTCAAATTGATGCGCGCTGTAAATTTTGCAATATCTCGGCTTCTATTCATCGTAGAAACTTATATATTTTTTAAATGGGGTAGCTCGACGAAAAAATAATAATGGGCATATTTACGAATTCGTAGAATAGCCCTGAACCCCAGAAAAAATGCATCTTTTATACTTAATTTNTTTTTTCTGCGAATAGCACAACTTTTTTTCTTGGCGCAACCTTATATTTTCATTGTTTATATTATTTTCGACCGATTTTTACTAATATTTAATCTACGTCAAGCAACAGCCATATCTCGAAGGTTTTGAGCTTAATTCTCTTGGACTATAATTCCAAAGTTCAAATTGATGCGCGCTGTAAATTTTGCAATATCTCGGCTTCTATTCATCGTAGAAACTTATTTTTTTTTTAAATGGGGTAGCTCGACGAAAAAATAACAGTGGGCATATTTACGAATTGGTAGAATAGCCCTGAACCCCAGAAAAAATGCATCTTTTATACTTAAATTTTTTTAATTTACAAAAATGTCACAAAAATTGTTAAACGAAATATTAATTAAAATTTCAATTTCGGATTTATTTTACTATTATTAAATAAATAAATGAAGCTATCGTTCATTTAAAAGGTTATTTTTATACATATGTATTAAGGCAAAGTAAACTTGTTTTTTCAATATTTTGTTAGCTATTTAATTACGATTTAAATGTAGGTACAATTAAAGTGAAAATTCACAAATTATTTTCAAATTGTTATTTCTCATAAAAATAGAAAAATTTTTTAATTTTAAATTGTTGTATTATATTGCACTATATCTATTATTGAAAATGGTTCATTAATATTTTCTAAATTAATTTTGATTATGTTGCAAATTTGTTTTGTTTAAAATTAGTAATAAATATAATAAAAAAACTATTAAAATTTCAAGAAGTTAAAATTGTAATTTTATCGATTATTTTTATTAATAGTTTTTAATTTTGAGAATTTTGCAATAAATTCAAATGCTTTTTATTCTTTTTTAAATCTTCTAACAATAAATAATAATTTGAAAATAATTTGTGAATTTTTACTTTAATTTTACATTTAAATAACTAACAAAATATTGAAAAAATAAGTTTACTTTGGCTTAATATGTAAAAAAAAAATACTTTTTAAACGAACGATAGCTTCATTTATTTATTTAATAACAGTAAAATAATTCCGAAATTGAAATTTTAATTAATATTTCGTTTAACAGTAATTTTTGTGACATTTTTGTAAATTAAAAAAAATTAAGTATAGAAGATGCATTTTTTCATGGATGCCCATTGTTATTTTTTCGTCGAGCTACCCCAGTTTAAAAAAAATAAGTTTCTACGATGTAAGTAAGTAAGTAAGTAAGTAAGCATTTATTGGTGTTATTACATAAGAAAATGTTTACACACGTCAAAGAAAAACATGGCCAAAGCATACAATTAAAATACAATTCAAAGAGAAGCACATCATATTATAAAAACAATCATAACGTACATAAAGTACAGACAACTATAAAATACAAACATTACATTTCGACTTACAATTTAAAATTAGATTAGCAAAATTATGATTTAAAAATTCATCAAGTGTATAAAATGCATTCAATTTAAGAAAGTTTTTCAAGACACCTTTATAATGAATTGGGCATAGATTTTTGACATTGACTGGTAATTTGTTATAAAATCTAATGCAATAATGATTTGTCCCATTTCTAGCTCTGTTCAATCGCAGAAAGTTGTGCCTGATTTGGTTTTTATTCCTGGTTGAATATTCATGAAATGAATTGTTTGACTCAAAACTGATCAGATGTTCTCTAATGAAAACAAGGCATTCAAGAATAAATACACAAGGCAGAGTGAGAACGCCGTATCTAACAAACTGCTTCCTACAGTCAGCTCTATACTGAAGCCCGGCAATGATTCGTATACACCTTCGTTGTAGACTAAAAATTTTTTCTGCATGGCAGGAGTGACCCCAATTAAGTATTGAGTAAATCATATTAGAATGAAAAACTGCGTAGTAGGCTGTCAATAAAGTTGCCGTCGAGACAGAATCGGAAAGACTTCTTATAAGAAAAATGATTCTAGATAGTTTCTTGGAAAGCTCAGTGACGTGGGCCTCCCAAGTCATCCTCTGGTCAATACAAACCCCAAGAAACTTGGCCTGAGGGGTGTAATTAGCCATCTCATCCCCCACGTAGCGTAATGAGAACAGAACTGACGATGTTTTGTCATTGTTTAGGAATAATCTGTTTGCACTAAACCACTGTCTGATACTATGGTGAGATATCAAAACGTTATCTTTCAAACTATCGTAATTATTTTCAGTGTTTATAACTGTCGTGTCATCTGCGANGAGTCACTTTTCGCTAAAATTGATGGTTTTCCCTGCAAAGTGAAAAAACAGTTTTCCTCACTTATTTGTTTAAATAGAAAAGTTAGCTAATAAAAGTTTTTGACTCACCAGACGAGAGACGTCTTGTATTATGTTCCTTTAGACAATTTTACAATAATCTCGCGGATAGGACTTTTTTCGAGTAAAAATTTAATTTGCTTGGTCCAAAATTAATTGGTTTGTCTAAAAATAACATCGAGAGAATTATTCGTTTAAAATGACCCGAAAATATATACATATATTTTTAAATTACAATTTTTTTTTAGCAATATATCGGAGACAAATGCAGTTCTGCAGTTCGTCATTCAACATGAAGATATTGTGAATATAAGCACTCAAAGCGTAGATTTAAGTGGCCTTACCAATGTGTCTATTCCTATTGACGTAGAAGCTATAGGAGCAGGGCATTCTCAAGTGTATGCCAATATTTCAAACTCGTCAATCAAGTAAGTGAAGACGGATAAAAATATGCTGTCAGTAATTCGTTTATTACGAGTAAGATAAAAATAATTAAATAATTTTAGAATAAATGTGCCATAATCATGGCTTACTGAATTTTCGTTTTAGCGTTGACGATGTCTATCTAAGGGTTACTGTTCATAAGATACCGGGACTCGACACGTTTTCTCTGGTTATTGGATGGCTGTATTTTGTAGCTTGGTCGATTTCCTTCTATCCACAGATTTACATAAACTGGAGGAGAAAGAGGTAAGTTAGTGTATTCAATGGAAATAGAGAATGGGAGTGTAACTTTATTTAATCCAATCCACTAATTTTATTAGTTATTATTCTGAATTATAACTTTCTCCGCAGGGTGTTTCTGAAATAAGTGCGTTCCGTTCCTAGTTTTATACGCCGGCTAAGTAATACTGCAACGCACGTGCACAAGATGCACAGGGTCGGCTTACATTTATGGTTAATTTTCTTAATTAATTTTCTCGAAAACAGAACCATTTAGACTATCAGTTGCTCAATAAAAGTTGCTCTTTTTGGTGCCCTCAAAAACGCCCTGTATAACATTAGCTTGAAATGCAACTAATTTTTACCTTCTTCTTATTTAAATATTAACAAGTTATCTTTTTCAGTGTGGTTGGTTTAAATTTTGACTTCATTGTGTTGAACATTATCGGTTTTACACTGTACGGAATTTTCAATTTGGGACTTTACTGCATACCTGAGATCGAGGTAAGTAAATGACTGTAAAAAACGATGTTGGAACATTACGTTTTTAGTCATATTATTTTAGTAAAAAAATTATAAATTGCAGATTATAAACTAAAAAGACTGTCTTTTTGAATTCAATTTAAAATTTATTCAAATCGGTTTCAGTAAATATTTTTTTGTTCCCATAATGTTTCCGAGACATTTATGAAATTAGAGGAAATATATCATATACAGGGTGTTTCATTAAGGTCGGCGAGGTACGATATTAGAGTATAGGCCTTAGAGCTTTGGGAAAAAAATTTTGATTAATAATTCGACCAAGAGAAATCGCTGAAAATAGTTTTCAAGTTCGTAGCTCGGCCGCTAGAGGGCGCAATCTACATACCAAAACAGAGTTGAATTTTTCTCAGAAATGTTTCCTATTCAGGTATGTTAAATAGTACAAATATGGACAGCCGGATTTATTGCGCATGACTTTTGTTATTGACATTTTGTTCTATCTGTCGACAGAAAGGGTGGGGGAAGCCCCTAATGTCTGATCAGAAAAAATGCATTTTTTTAAGTATTGACTCATTAAATGCCCGTAGTCTTATACTTCGTTGGTAAGGTCTTTTCATGCTTTACCTCGTGGTGAATGCATAATGTCATTTACCTCAAAATGTAAACCTATAGATGGCGTTACTTCAAAAAAACCCATTTTATGGATTTTTCTCAAAAATTTTAAATGCAATGCTATTGTTCTTTACATAAATGAATTCACCACAAAAACTTGATGAATACAGTATAAGTTTGAAATTTCTAACGAAAGTATTGTTTATTTAATTGCGCTATTTGTCCAAGTTTAGGTTGTTTTACGTTTTTTTTTTTTAATTAAAATAGCAGGATAAAACTTTTTATAGGTTACTTTGAAGAACATAAAAGTTGCTACGTTTTGACGCCAAAAAGGGTTCGATATCTTTTTTTGTTATCAAGTTATTCGCTGATTAGGGAGTAAAAAATAATGATAATGAATTGAGGCACACGACACTAACGAAAAGACATTTCATTACCAAAACAAGATAAAAAAGAGAACCTACCTAAACCCACGCAAATGAGTGAATCAATAACAATCTTTAACAAAAACAATAAACAGATATTGATATTATGTAACGAAAGAACAATTAAATTTCAACAAAAGTAAAGATGTTTATAAATGTTCGAAATGCATACCATTATTTTCAATGCAGGAATTTAACCTTCGCTGCGTGCCTAGGTAGGTAGGTTCTTTTATAAACACATTTTGTTTTGGTAATTAAATGTCTTCGTTAGCGTCGTGTTCCTTAATTCATTACACAGCCCCGCAAAAAAAAGTATCGGATCTGGTATTCAGACCCATGTATTTCTATGTATTTTTTTCCGCTGAATCCGAATCTGCCTTCAGATTTTGCCCAACGGGTCTGAGTTTTCGGGAAAATTCAAAAAACAGGTCAAAATTTACAAAAAACGTCATTTATGATATTCTCAATATTCTAGGCTCTCATCTCTCAGCACAAAAAGTAGATGGATAGATGGGTGGATGGGTAGGTTTTATAGGTGGTACAGGTGGATGATAGAAAGATGTATGAATTCATAAATGGGTGGGTGGACAAAAAGATGGAACCAGAACTCTGCAACACAAATTATGCTATGAAAATGGCGTTTTTAAGCATTTTGATCTATTTTGTTGTGTGTTGTTGTTTTTGAATTAAATTGGTCCAGTTTGTCTGACTCTATGATGATAAATTGGAATTAAACGAGTGAAAAATCGTACGTCTAGTGAGCTGGTAGAATAATTTGACTTTTTATAACTTTCGTCGATCGTAAATGACGTTTTTTGTGAATTTTGACCTGTTTTTTGAATTTTCCCGAAAACTCAGACTCGTTGGGCCAAATCTGAAGGCAGATTCGGATTCAGCGAAAAAAAATACATAGAAATACATGCGTCTGCATACCAGATCCGATATTTTTTTTTTTTGTGGGACTGTGATTATCATTATTTATTTTCTGCTCACGAATTTGCGAATAACTTGATAACAAAAAAATATATCGAACCCTTTTTGGCGTCAAAAAGTAGCTATTTTTGTGCTCTTCCAACTAACCTAAAAATGTTTTATCCTGCTATTTAACTTTTTTAAGAAAACGTGGAACAACCTAAACTTGGATAAATAGCACCAATAAATAAACAACACTTTCGTTTTTTATGCTGAATTCATTTATGAAAAAAAAACTATCTCTAAAATTTTTAAGAAAAATCCATAAAACGGTATTCTTTTGAAATAACGCCATCTATAGGTTTCCACGTTGAAGTAAATGACATTACGCATTCACCACGAGATACAGCATGAAAAGACTTTTCCAACGAGGTATAACACTATGGACTTTTGGTGATGAGCCAATACTTAAAAAAAATACATGCTTCTAATCAGACATTAGGGTCTTCCCACACCCTTTCTATAGAGTGATAGAACAAAATGTTTGCGCCCCTAGCGGTCGAGCTATGAACTTGAGAACTATTTTCAGCGATTTCTCTTGGTTGATTTATAAACCGAAATTTTTTCCCGAAGTTCTAGTGCTTATAGTTTTCTTATTACCTAGTCGACCTTAGTGGGACACCCTGTAAATAGACCAATTATGGGATTGGAAACATTTCGAAAAGTGTATCAAATGTTTCATAGTTGTTTTAAAAATTTTTGAACATGTTATGGTAATGTTTCGGTTTTACTGCAACTTGGACCGAAACTAACGTTTGAACGATTTTCAGGATGAATATTTCAACAGATATCCACGTGGCTTAAACCCAGTTCAAATAAACGATATCGTGTTCGCTTTGCACGCGGCTGTTGCGACGATATTCACGATAATCCAGTGCTTCATCTACGAAAGAGAAGAGCAACGGGTCTCTATTACCGCCAGAGTCATTATAGGCATATTTGGAACCTTCCTATTGATCAGTATTATTTTAGCTGCCACCGACGTTATTCACTGGTTGGATTTCCTCTACTACTGTTCTTATGTGAAACTTACGATTACTTTAATTAAATATGTACCGCAGGTAAGAAAAATACGTTTGAATTTTGTAAGTACTTTTGAAGATTTTGAGGTTGCTAAAAGTGTGAATTTTATTAGTTTTGGCTATTTATGGAAAATATTGTAGCGGCCTTCACACGATAATCGAAAACTAACATCGCAATGATATTTTTACTGATACCAAGTTTAATTGCAATACATTACATTTTTAGACCAGGAAAAATATCCGCGAGTCAAAAAATTTTAATTTCTTTTCTATTTAAACAAATAAGTGAGGAAAACACTTTGTTAAAAGATTTAAAAAAGAATAAAAAGCATTTGAATTTATTGCAAAATTTTCAAAATTAAAAAAATATTAATAAAAATAATGCGGTTGATAAAATTACAATTTTAACTTCTTGAAAGGCGGTGAATTTGATTCCATATCATTTTCTTCTTCTTTATCATTGAATCTTAGCAACATAATCAAAATTAATTCAAAAAATATTAATCACAACCATTTTCAATAATAGATAGAATGCAATATAATACAATTTAAAATTTAAAATTTTTTCCATTTTTATGATAAATAATAATTTGAAAATAATTTATGAATTTTTACTTTAATTTTACATTTAAATCGTAATTAAATAGCTAACAAAATATTGAAAAAACAAGTTTACTTTGCCTTAATATGGTAAAAAAAATAACTTTTTAAATGAACGATAGCTTCATTTATTTATTTAATAATAGTAAAATAATTCCGAAATTGAAATTTTAATTAATATTTCGTTTAACAATAATTTTTGTGACATTTTTGTAAATTAAAAAAAATTAATTATAAAAGATGCATTTTTTCTTGGGTTCAGGGCTATTCTACGAATTCGTAGATATGCCTATTGTTATTTTTTCGTCGAGCTACCCCTGTTTTAAAAAAAAGAAGTTTCTACGATGAATAGAAGCCGAGATATTGTAAAATTTTATAGTGCGCATCAGTTTGAACATTGGATTTCACTTTTCCCGCGCGCGCGACTCGCTTGGACGAGCTTCCCCCACCACCACGCCGCCGGACAGTTTACTTAACGAGTACCTTCTCTTTAAAGGGCTCGTGAGTCGTTAATTTTCCACATTTTTCAATGCAATTCACGGGAAATCGTAGTTTACGTCGTAAACTTTATTTTGCGAAAAATTCTAGTCTTAATGTTTATGAACAATTGTACTACGATTTTTTTTTAAAAATTCTTATCTTGGCTCCTGTTGGTCGTAGAGGGTGCTTTTGTATTTTTTTGTGAGCTATCCATTGAATCTATTTTCGGTGAGGTGACATAAATAGCAACAGTTTTATTCAAATTGTTTATAAGAGAAAAACGCACGGTTTTTTAATGCACAATTTGAGAATGTTAATGTCAAAAAAAACGGTGATATTTTTTAATAGATCGCTTAGTTAACGTCTTTAAGATTACAATGACGCCTTCAGAATCATGTTTGGTTGAAAATTAACGCCTGTACAGAGGCTTAAAGTTCATAACTTTTGGAGCCGCCTTTATAAACAAATGGAATTGTTCAAAAACTATTGCACCTGTAGCTCCCATTTTTGGCACACTATTAAAGTATGACAAAACCCTCAACTTGTCACAGGTTTTATAAAATTTTTACTATAAATGTAATAGTTACAAACAAATTAAAAAATGGGCACTTTTCTTGTTTTTTTGCAATAACCTTTTTGTTTATTAACCGATTTAAATTTAACAACTCTCATTTTGTAAATAATTTTATTCCCTACAAGTTATCTATGAGTCATTTTTCGCTAAAATTGGTGGTTTTCCCTGCAAAGTGAAAAAACTGTTTTCCTCACTTATTTGTTTAAATAGAAAAGTTAGCTAATAAAATTTTTTGATTCACGAGATGAGAGATGTCTTGTATTATGTTTCTTTAGACAATGTTACAAAAATCTCGCGGATAGGAATTTTTTCTAGTAAAAATTTTATTTGCTTGGTGTATTTCTAATAGGATTCAAGAAGAAAAAGTCGTGTTCTATAAATCATTTAAAACTTATTATTTATTATATATTTTTTTATCAAATAAATAGTCAAGTTACAATTATTTTTTTAAAATGCACTTTAATTCCGTTACAATAATCATGTATTATAAATACATGAATTGTTGGCACCCCACAGTGCATGTGGAGGGAGATAGTGCAGGTCAATAGTGACGAAACGAAGTGGGTCAGTTGTTGTTCTGTATTTGAAGACAGTACATCTAACTATCAAAATGAAGTTATATTTAAACAGAAAATAATTCGTTGTTAAACTCCAAACGAACTCCGTATCCTGAGGACCACACGGGGTTCAGAAAAAAGGTTTAAAAAAATCTAGTTTTTATGACGGAATTTGAAAAAATTAACTGTTTATATGTGTTTCTAAAGGTCAAAGCAAGACTCTTTGTAAATGTGACCCCCACTCAAAGATACACCTATATAACACTACACCCTAATCCAATAGAAACTGAAACAAATTTTATTTTTGTTTTCAGGCTTACATGAATTATAAAAGGAAAAGTACAATAGGTTGGAGTATTGGCAATATATTACTAGATTTTACTGGTGGAACGCTCAGCATGTTGCAGATGATTGTAAATGCCTGGAATTATAGTAAGCAGCTTAATCGTTGGTCATTTGATCAACAAATATATGCATTTTCTTAACTTTACTAATTTTTTTTTACAGACGACTGGGTGTCAATCTTTGGAGATCCAACTAAATTCGGCCTGGGATTATTTTCTGTGTTATTTGACATCTTCTTCATCGTGCAACATTATGTTTTGTATAGACACTCTAATTATGAGAAAAAATAATGTACTTAAGTTAGTATTTTTTTTTAATATTGTTATTTATTTCAGTTAAACAATACTTAAATTGTTACTAGAGCAATATATTTTTTTGTTTTTGTAATATTTTATTTTGCTTTTTAATCCAGTTCCTTCCTAGCTTTCCTAAATAAATACTCATGTTTCAACACCAAAAAAATGTCAAATTCTAAACACTTCTAAAAAAAAGGTCACCGATATGACATTAGGGTTGGGCACCTACCCCCTCCCCTAGTTACGCCCATGGTCGGGACCAAGACAAAAGAATTTCAGATCTTTAAACATTATATCTATGTTATTAACAAAAATAATATGAGCATAAATTCAAATACTACTGCTTACTAGATATATTATCATTTAAAATCACAAATAATCGAGATAATTCTTGTACTATACAAACAGTTTTCTATAAATTTTGAAGCTACAATTGCTTTTTAGGTACCAATAGAAGGTAGGTGTAAATCTAGTTTACATACCACGATACAAAGGAATAAAATATAGAAGAAGAAGAAGAGTTCAAATTTGTCTATTGTCAAAATAACTTAACCTTAATCAGGATGATGCATTATTTTTGTTTTTAACTCTTAGTCAAATGCAGTTGTTGAAAATGTCACAAGAAAGTAGTTCAGAAAAACTTCCTCACGAGACAGTGATATCAGATTTGACCAAAGATTTACAATCCCAATTGACCGTAGGTTCTACTAGTGATGACCATAAACACGAAAGTACACAAAGCAGTTCTGCTGAACTCGGTGAAAATGAGAAAAACTTTAACGTACCAGAAGATTTCGAGCGAGAAGAACAAGCCGAACAAGGCTTTGATGATTACGTAGACGAAGTGCAACTAAAAGATTTAGAAGCCGGTTTAGAAGAGCAGGAATTAGAGTTACGATATAAAGAAGCATTAGAATTAAAAGCAGCAGGAAATGATGAATTTAAAAATACAAAATACATGGAATCAATCACAACATATACAAAAGCTTTACGACTATGCCCGTTAAAGTATAACAACGATCGATCTATTTTATACGCAAATAGGGCTGCTTCTAAAGCTAAATTGGATAGGAAGAAGACTGCTATAGATGATTGTTCCCAAGCTATCGAATTAAATGATAAGTATGTGAAAGCATATCTTAGGAGAGCTAAACTGTACGAGGAAACTGAAAAGTTAGACGAGAGCTTAGAGGATTACAGAAAAATACTAACGTTCGATGTCAGCAATGCTGAAGCATTAAAGGCTGTCTATAGACTACCACCGTTGATCGAAGAAAGAAATGAAAAGCTGAAAACAGAAATGTTAGGTAAAGTTTTTTGTTGAGGTAACGTTTGATGTAGGACTCATTAAATTGTTTTTAGGCAAGTTGAAAGATTTGGGAAACATGATATTGAAACCGTTTGGGCTTTCTACGGAGAATTTTCAGTTAAATCAGGACCCCAACAGTGGAGGATACTCCATAAATTTTGCACAAAATTCAAAGTAATCACAATATTTTAATATATTTCTCATTAAACGTAAATTATACATATATACCACTAATGTACTTCATGATAACTGTTCTATTTATGAAAATAAGGGCAAAATAAAGTTCTATTCACAAATTGAGTTTTTATCATGTTAATAATTCCTGGAGATTTTTGAGTTTATGTAATTTTGTCCGTTGACTCTATCCATTAAAGTAGCCAACAATTTCATATAATTTTTTTTGAAATTCGCAAAAATAAGCATAAAAAGTTAAGGCATCAAATGTTCATCGCCATTCACTTCAACGTAAAGGTCTACAGTAGGTATCCATTGTTGTTTAATGGGTGCAATAATAAAAGTGGTTTTCCGCGTTACTGTTTCCGCAGGTAATTTTACATGTATTTTCATCTCTTGGTGAAAAATATTGCCTGCGTTTGTTTTATGGATGGTTCTTTATTAAAAAATACTAATATTAAGAGAATTCTGCTGTAAAATCACGTAAAAGCCAAATTGTCCGTCTTTTAGACTTAACAGCTATTCAGAAAAATCCGCAGATACTGTACCTTATTTTCGTAGAAAGTGGTTTCATGGCCTCCAAAAACCATACAGTATAAAGGTTTTTGGGGTTGTTATGCCTTGGCAAATTACCTTTCACTTCCTTAACCTTAGCTAGAAACCTTTGAATTGCCCTTGTCGTTCTCGGGCTAGGCTATCTGAAAAATCATCGTACTGTTCCTAGATACAACTGGGGGAATAGAAAAAAAACCCACAACAGCACTTGAATTTTTTATTAACGTAAATATAAAATGAAGTAATTACCAAACCAAATAAAATGGCGAAATATTAGTAGGTTTAACTAGAACTATCAGCCTTAATTGTACCGTTACAAAAAAGAAAATTGAAATTGTTAAAAAGTGATGAACAATTTCAACTAGTCTAAATTATCGTCGTCGGATGGTTTCGTTGGTGGTGGCTGTGGGGGGTTGCTTCCCGAGCCCGCGCCGCCGAAGCCACCTGGGAAACCCATAAATCCAGGCGCGGCTCCTGCAGAAGTTCCGGTCCCGGGGAACCCTGGGAAGTTCATTCCGGACCCTGCAAATTTGCTGGACAATTTTGTTACTAGCGCCATTATTTTGGGATTTGACTGGTATTTCACGAAATTCGCGGGATTCACCGAGATATCCTGGAATGCTTGGGCCACTTCTGGATCCTGAAAGTACCTCATTTAGTACAGTCATTGAAGCTTCTCACCTCCGAATTCTTTGAAACTGAACCGATCGACTCGAAATTTGGCAGATAGTTAGAGAAAAGGTCAATGAACATTAGTGACATAGTGACGACTGGCGCTTCCACCTTCTCGGGGGTGGAATTCTTTTTTTCAAAAATAACGCTGGAAATCGATAGAGAATCAAATTTTGCACAAAAGATATTCGAAGATTTTTTTCGAGAAATCAATAGTTTTTTAGTTATTCACGATTGAAAACTTGGAATTTTGAGTGAAAAAAACACATTCAAAATATTCTTTGCAAATAACTCAAAAACTACGCATTTTATTAAAAAAAAGTGTAATGAACAAAAATGTATATAGCTTATAAATAAACAAAGAAAATCGCTTTTTAAAAAGTGTTGTACGTCCTATACAAAGCGAAATATGGTTAGTGGAAGGGGACTTGTTTTGGGGGGGAATACTCGAATCGATGTATTCAACGTGAAATAACGGAAAAATTATTAATTTTACGTTTATAACGCTCCTGGAGTTTTTTGTAGTACTCAAAAAGATCTTCAAAATGAGCACTTATAAAAGTTAATTAGAACAAAATTGAAGAAGTTATCGTCAAAAACAGATGGATTGCTCATATTTTTTAAGGAAAAATGAGCAGTAAATGCTGACCATTTCCATCAGAATTAAAGTTAATCGTAGACCCTTTACAATTAGTTTTGTTTTAGTGTTTTTCATACGATCCTGAAATTAGACTGGTTTAGAATGCGCATTTTTTAAATAATGTACGCTAAAAGTTGAAAACGTATTTTTCATTATGCAAAAAAATTGCCTTATCTATATAATAACTCTGAAACTATAAAATATACGTAAAAAATGATAGACAACAAAAATTTAGCTTTTTTTTTCAACAAATATTTTGCTTTTTTTATTCCTATAAAATTCCTATAAAAAATAAAGGAGATATCAACAAAAATGTAGCTTTTTTTCAACAAATATTTTGTTTTTTTATTCCTATAAAATTCCTATAAAAAATCAAAGGGATATCGCCGCTTGGAGTATCCATTTTAGTGAAAAAAACAACCTGTCTCGAGCCCTTCAATCCTTTCCTTTTAAAAAACGAAGGACTTAAAAGGTTTTATATGCAAACGATCTTCCAGCTCTTGAAATTATTTTTAAAATGCTTTTTTGTAGGATACTATAGCTTCAAAATTAACCGAGTTATGGTAAAAAAACCAATGACATTTTTTCGGAGCAAAATAGGCGTTTTAATATATTATATATAACTAATAAAATAAGTAAAAAAATTTAGTGTGATTATTTATATGCAGCGTAGCAATTTTTTTATGATTGATTATATTTAAAAATCGATTATAATAAAAATATTTTACAGTAATATTGGTAAAAGGGTAGTTTATAAGAGTTGAAAATGGCAAAAGTAAAATATTCTTTCATAAACAATATAAGGGAATTTTTATTTTAAATTATTGCACAATTATAGCATTCCAAGATTTAAAACGTAATTTTTTATCATTTTTTTAGCACAGGGGTGATTTATAAGGGTTGAAAAGTGTTATGAGATACAAATTCTTTCATAAGCAATGAGG